GGTTCCCTATCGCCAGCTTTCCTGTCCTCTTCTGCCTTCTAGTCCTTGTCCCTGGACTGCTGTGCCTCATTAGTCCCATTTTGTTTTATGGGGCTGTCCAATCCCCGGCTGAATGGTGAACCTTGGAAGTGACTTCACCACTGAGCTAAAAGGGTGTCTGGGGGCCATACTCTCCAAGGCTGCAGTCTTTACAGAAGCAGACTGCCACATCTTTCCCCAGTGGAGGGCCTGGAGGATTTGACCTGCCGACTTTTTGGTTAGCAGCCAAGTGCTTAACCACTGTGTCAATGGGTCAATACATACAAAGAAGGTTAGAACAGTGCCTAAAACAAACAAACAAACAAAAATAAGTTACCACTGAGTTGATTCTGATTCATGGCGACCCCCCTGTGTGTCAGAGTGAAACCATCCTCCATAAGATTTACAATGACTGGTTTTTCAGAAGTAGATCAGAAGGCCTTTCTTCCGAGGGGCCTCTGGGTGGTCTCAAACCACCAACCTTTCAGTTAGCAGCCAAGTGTGTTGGCTTGGAAATTTTCAATAAATGTTTAATGAATAAGAATAATATTAATCATTTATTGTAAGCTAACTCTGTGTTAGGTATTTCATATACGTTCTTTCTCATCTTGACAATAAGCACATAAGTTGAATGAGGATAGGTGTACTATCCTATCCCTGTTCCATTCATAAGCAAATTAAGTTCCAAGAAGCAAAGTTAATAGCCCAACTAGGTTGAGTTTTGAATCCATGTATGGCCAGATTCATAAGCCAGTCTCCCTCTATGCCAGTGTAACTCTGTGTTTGGCACTGGGTATGAAAATACAAGATAAATGATGTTCTGAACCTGTTCCATGAAATTCATAATCTGGAGATACAAACATTTACCCAACCACTATAACACTCAGGAGTCCCTGGGTGGCATAAATAGTTAAGCTCTCAACTACTGGCGAAAAGATTGAAGGCTCGAACCTACCCAGAAGTGCCTCAGAAGACAGGCCTGGCAATCTGCTACCATAAGATTATAGCCTTGAAAACCCTATGGAGCAGTTCTACTCTGCACGCAGGGAGTCACCATGAGTTGGAATCGACTTAATGGCAACTAACCACAACAAATTTCCAAGGAGCGCCTTGTGGATTCAAACTGCCAACCCCTTCCTTAGCAACCATAGCACTGAACCACTATGCCACCAAGTTTCTCAGAAACTCTATGGGGCAGTTCTACTCTGTCCTATAGGGTCACTATGAGTCGGAATTGACTGGATGGCAACGGGTAACAACTAATCCCAAGGAGGCTGTGATAAGTCTGATAACAGATGCATGAAAGTCCAAATTTCCACCCAGTTCAAGAATCATTTTCTATCCTTTTGCTTTCAAAATGACATATTGAACTCATTCACTTACCCTCCCTCTACCTCCCAGTCCCCCTAATATCAGGAAAGAGTTTGCCTCTGTTTCTGGTAATATGATGTTGTTAGTTGCCATCAAGCTGACTTCAACTCATGGCTACTTTATGTAACATGGAAACATTATGAAACATTGCCCAGTTCACACTATATAGGACAATGTTGTTGTGACTGGCTGATTTTTGGAAGTAGATAGCCAGGCCTTTCTTCCTAGTCTTAGTCTGGAAGTTCTCCTGAAACCTGTCCATGATGAGTGACCTGCTGGTATTTGAAATACCAGTGGCATGGGTTCCAATATCATAGCAATACACAAGCCACCACAGTGTGATAAAATGACAGATGGTGGGTAATTTGACAAAAAAAAAAAACAACAAAAAATAAAATCCATTGTTGTTGAGTCGATTTTGACTCATGGTGACCCCATGCGTGCAGAGTAGAATTGCTCCATAGGGTTTTCTTGGCTGTAATCTTTACAGAAGCAGATCACCAGGCCTTTCTTCTGTGGTGCTGCTGGGTGGGTTCAAACT